AATTGTATGGGAATATCAGTTGTTGTTGTTTTATTATTACTCGATGAATGTAATTGTATGGGAATATCAGTTGTTGTTGTTTTATTATTACTCGATGAATGTAATTGTATGGGAATATCAGTTGTTGTTGTTTATTACTACTCGAGTAATGTAATTGTATGGGAATATCAGTTGTTGTTGTTTTATTATTACTCGGTGAATGTAATTGTATGGGAATATCAGTTGTTGTTGTTTTATTACTACTCGATGAATGTAATTAAATGGGAATATCAGTTGTTGTTTTATTACTACTCGTTGAATGTAATTGTATGGGAATATCAGTTGTTGTTTTATTACTCCTCGATTAATGTAATTGTATGAGAATATCAGTTGTTTTATTATTACTCGATGAATGTAATTGTATGGGAATATCAGTTGTTGTTTTATTACTACTCGGTGAATGTAATTGTATGGGAATATCAGTTGTTGTTGTTTTATTACTGCTCAAGTAATGTAATTGTATGGGAATATCAGTTGTTGTTGTTTTATTACTACTCGGTGAATGTAATTGTATGGGAATATCAGTTGTTGTTTTATTACTACTCGAGTAATGTAATTGTATGGGAATATCAGTTGTTGTTGTTTTATTACTACTCGGTGAATGTAATTGTATGGGAATATCAGTTGTTGTTGTTTTATTACTACTCGTTGAATGTAATTGTATGGGAATATCAGTTGTTGTTTTATTACTACTCGTTGAAGGTAATTGTATGATTACTACTCGATTTAATGTTTTAATAAAAAATAAGTTAGGCTTAATGTAATCTTTGCTTTGAGTAGATTGGTCAGGCCTATATAGATTAGTAATTTTTCGCGGTGTTGACTTTAACATTAGGAAAACAAGGATAAAAGTTGTTATGTTGCTAAAACTTTATTATCAGATTAAACTTACTTTCTTTAAAGAGAATGTAAAGTACTTTTTATAGGTGTATTGATATTTTCTCTTCAATGAAGACACTAAATAGATCATAATGGGTTTACTGGAAGAAGACATACGTTGAGAAAGTTAATTCAATAACTACGACTATACCGAGTGTATTTAGTATTTGTCAACAGAGGCTGCTCCCAGTTAAATTTTAAGGGAGTCGCGTGCTATTAAATACTGTAGATATTTACGTTTTTAAGGGAAATGTGACACTTGAGCGCGGCGTTGTTATCCCTTTTAAAACTTTATTTGAAGTGCCTATTAATTTACGAAATTCCCTGTCATATAAAGTGTGTCACGTGATCCTTAAACCAGGTGCAGAGAAGAAAAAAAATATTACTCCATCAAAAAGGCCATTAGACAAACTTTAAGTACGTTTGATTGATTTCAGCGTAAGTGAAGCCTCAACATTTCGTCTTCTTGACATTCTGGCTGTAAGTTAAGATTAGCTGTGATCGAGTAGCTGATCCTACGTCTTGCTCATTACACTGAACACACAGCTTACTGAAAATAAAGTAGCCATTACCGACAACTAAATACTAACGAAAAAATACACAAGGGAAACCGAGTTTATTGATATAACTTGTTTTGCACATATACGTTGCTCAAACTTAAAAAGCTGAGTAATGCACATATTAATTAAACAGAAAGTATACACACCTAAGTTTTTCATCATTCAGAATGCTCACCCAGTGGCACAGCGGTATGTCTTCGGTATGTGTTAGTACAATAATTTGAGTGTGATAACGAAGTGAAAATACAACCGAAAATCATTTTATCTATGGGGTTTTGAGGCCTATCAAAGAATACATTAGGTCTCTACGTCACAGATTCTCTTTTCAATTTCACCTCTGGTGAAAAAGAAAGGAAATATTTAATATATTTATATTAAATCAAAAGTCAATTTGTTTGCCGTAAATAGTAGCGTGGCACATTTTGTGCCAATTCCGGGAGTTTTACGAGAAAAAGTTTGGGGAAACAATGACTAGTGGCACCTATAAATATTTTTCGAAACTAATTAAATATGCAAAGATAGATTAATTTTAAAAAAATAAATTCTATAAATAAAAGGAATCGATGGTTCTTTAGAATAATATATATATATATATTTAGAAGGAATTATCTTAAATATATACATGTTTTTCTGTGTATTAGCAGAGGTCATGAACATATTTTAAATGGCAAATTAACTTGATCGCAGTGATTCACTCTAAATTCACCTGGTGTTGATTAGTGCAATTATTTCAAAAACTGAAATTTCTTCTAAACGTTTGAAAGATTAATTATTTTAGCGAATCACGAAAATAATAAAAATATTGACATTAGCTTGAAACACGAGGCAGCTAAAATTTATGTAACACTATATTAAATTTTCTTGTCTCCAGGAACGATTTTTAATCTCTCGAGAAATGAATAATAATGACATTCTAAAACGTGGGTGGGCCCGGCATGGTCAGGTGGTTAGGACGCTTGACTCTCCATCTGAGGGTCGCGGGTTCGAATTCCCGTCACACCAAACATGCTCGCCCTTTCAGCCGTGGGGGCGTTATAAAGTTACGGTCAATCCCACTATTCATTTGCAAAATGGTAGCCCGAGAGTTAGCGGTAGGTGGTGATGACTAGCTGCCTTCACTCTAGTCTTACACTGCTAAATTAGGGACGGTTAACGCAGATAGCCCACGTGTAGCTTTGCACAAAATTCATAACAAACAAGCAAACAAACTAAACCTTGGTGATTGTGTCATATATTTTTATCAGAACTATTCCTTACAGTACTTGATCTTATCAATTTATATTGGTGTCTTTGTATCGATGAATTAAAACATATTTTTATAAAATTATAAGTATTATTCTTTGTAATAGATGTCGCTGCAACACGAAACAATAAAGTCTTAAAGATAAACATGCGAAACTTTTGATAAACGTTTTTATAAAAATTGTAGTCGAACTCTTGATGTAACATATTTTTGTCTTTAATATTAATAGAATAATTTTGCTTTACAGTAATAACTTATATATTTGGAATATAAAGATTTTTATCGGAGTACATCAAACGGTTTGAGAGAATATTAATCTCATGACGTCAGAGATATATATTTAAAAAAAATACAATAAAAGAGCCAATTCATTTCAGTTATTCCTTATAATGCAGCTGTTGTCACAGCCTTGCAATGTTATGCTAGCCAGAAGTTATTATTTATATTATACTTTAATGTACATGAAAATACAAAAAAAAAGTAGCCATGACCAACCAATAGGTGGCTGAGTTTGAGCACCACGTGCTTCGGTTCACTATGGCAACAAACATAACGCCTTGCCAGCTGTAGAAGTACAAAATTATTTGTATTTTGAAGTTATGACAAAGCTACTAAGGCTATCTGTCGCTGTCCCAAATTTTGAGTTACTGAACAGAGAGAATGAAACCAGTCGGCATCACACTACCATTCACACTAAAGGATTGACTGTTACCTTTATAACGTACCTACGGCTTAACGTGCGGAAAACATATTATGGTGTTTTAGGTACTCGAACCCGGTTCGCCTATTCCGAAATCCTAAACTCTACCGCAGAGCTAACTCGCGTCTGGCACGAAATGAAACAGCGAGAAAAAAAAATTAAAAATGTTACCTTCATAAATTGTCAAAAATAAGTACCGTTACTTAATCATTTGTGTTAACACTGGGGTCTTATAAGGCTAAAAATCAGGTTTCGATACCAGTAGTGGGCAAAGACAGATAGCCCATTGATTAACTTTGTGCTTAACGAAGTAAAAATATAAAAATTATAGGTGTGAAATTATTTTTCAATATTCAAGTAAAATTATGACATTAAACTAAAAAGTAATATATAGAAATGAACAAAGCGAGCTATTAGTCACTGGTGAATACGAGTTACAGATTTTGTTGTGCAGAGGGCCCGGACGCCCTGAAAATGAAACATTTTTCTGTGCGATTAGGAACTGATCTAATGTAAAGAACGATGGAAATATTTGATAGTGAGTGCATATTGACTCAGTGCTGAAAAATGTCTTGTCATTATTGACAATATTCTAGTAAAAACTGAAACTTTTCTTACATTACTTTTTGTTTTTATTTTCTTATCATCACAGAATAGAAAGCTATTTTCGTGACGAATCAAAATAATAAAAGAACATAAATATTACAGTGTTTGAAACACGATGTTTTTACGGACAACTTTCGCACGTTATTATTCGGTATAAATGAGTATAAGCCAGTGTAATTCTGGTATAAACTAGCAACTATCCTTACCAACTAAAAAGCAACGACCACAATGGCGTGCGATAAGGAAAAGCAAAAAAAAAATACTGCTTTTATTGAAATCAGATTTTAAAATTAATTAACTTGGACTAAAATATTTAATATATATTGTAAGAATTTCGTAGTTTCAAACGAAGATAAAATCAGGACTTCCATCTGTATGGCAAGGACAGCGGCCGTGATCGCTAAGACGCACCCAACGGCCGTGACAGTGTGACGCCTCCAGCGCCGCCCAGCGGGTAGATCTAGATTCAATTCCATGACCGTTACAGCGATAACCAAGGTGCATTCTCATAGCTGTTGTTTCGCAGGCCACGCACACTCGCTTCCCCTTACGGAGAGATTTGTAAGCATCTCCCAGAACGACACATTGGTGTTTGGACTTGGTAATCTTGAGAACTACACAATACCTGTAAAATATACGATGGGAAAATAAATTAATCAACAGACTTTCTAAAAATAGAAGAAAATAGAAGAATCGACGATAAGGCAGTTCTTGAAAAATTAATATATATTATAGTTATATCATAATTGGTTAGTTTGGAAATAAGCACAAAGCAACACAATGGGCTATCTGTGCTCTGCCCACCACGAGTATCGAAACCCGGATTCTAGCGTTGTAAGTCCGCAGACATACCGCTGTGCCACTGGGCAAATAGAGTTGTTGTTGTTTGTAATTAAGCACAAAGCTACACAATGGGCTATCTGTGCTCTGCCC